TCTCTCTCTCTCTCTCTCTCTCTCTCTCTCTCTCTCTCTCTCTCTCTCTCTCTCTCTCTCTCTCTGTTTGCAAGGGCATGCAATGTCAAAGCACTCTAGAGGGCTTTGCAAGGTTAAGCTAGGTAGCAAAAAGCCCTTTCTCGTTTGTGTTTTCATGTAGAGCACAATTCTTGTTTGTGTTTCCATGTAGAGCGCAATTCTTGTTTGTGTTTTCATGTAGAGCACAATTCTTGTTTGAGGGTACTTTGTAGGTGAACTAAAGCAATCTAAAACAACGATTTTGCTTCACCTTTTAGTCTCTTGTTTGGGAGTGATCTAAGGGACGTTTTGGATTTAGACAAGGGAAGCCTTTCTGTGTGTCCGCACCCATATTCACAAAATCGAACGGGAACGGTTAACCGGATATGGATCTTGAAGTGGTTTAACTGGCCTAATCGGTAAACCGGTCTATTCAACCGCTCTAATCGGGCAAGTCCCGGGCAGTCAAAAAAGTGTTGAAAATTTTAAAAAAAAATAAAAATATACAAAAAAAAAATCTACTAAAATATGAAAAGCATATAAAGAATGATTAAAACAAAACACATTCAAATGAAGTTGAAAATTAATGGAAAAAAAATAGATTTTAACCTATTTTATATTTTTCAAAGGCTATTTTTAAAATTTTTTAAAAAAGACGGGACAATATAAAATTGAGTATTAATGATCAAAACAATTTTTAATCTTTACCATAATGTAAAGAATATTTAAAAATATATTACAAATCAAATTTCTTATTTTTTTAAGAATTTATATACAATTTTTTGAATTTTTTTTTTAAATATCGGTTGATCCCCCTAACCGCTCAAAATCAAAACTGGCCACTAGCTGGTTTGATCTAACCAGGTGGTTAGCGGTTAGATCAGGTGATTTTACGAACAATGGTCCACACACATATAATCAGTATGTGTCCGAGGACCCATAGCCGTTCAATCTTTGAGTGGGACAGCAAGGAATGGGCCAAGAACATTTATAGACTAGTACTATCCAATCATGGGGGTTGGATGTCTATAGAGGCAAATTATGTGTGGGGATATGTAGAAAGGTTGTAGAAAGAGATGTTTTTTGAGGAGTCGTCTTTTGGAAGGTTGAACCCACTCGTTTAAGTGGGTTTTCCTTTTATTAGGGCATGTTTGGTTCATGTGAAAATATTTCTCGGGAAGCATTTACATGTGAAAAAACAATATCATGTGATTAGGTGTGGGAGTATTTTCACATCAATTGGTTCCAATGTATTTTTTCACACCAATTGGCAGTCATTTGATGTGAAAATACTCCTACACCTAATCACATGATGGAGTTTTTTCACGTGAACCAAACGTACCATAACAGTGAGCGAGTGCTTGAATCATAGGGTGATTACATCGTTTAGGAAGGAAACTATTATTTTGTAAAATTATTGGGTGATTTTAGGGGTTTTCTAGATTTTTGAGCGGCCATGCCACATGGTTGATAGTCCCTTAATGTTTTATCTTCCTCTCCTACTGATATTGAGATAGGCATGTCCTTTAAATATTTTCTCTTTCTCTGGTTCAGTGGTTGATAACTAGAGAGCTTCTGGTTGGACACATTATTTAGGAACTTGAACTCAGCTGCAGCAGGCCTAAATAGGAAAACGTATATCAACCAAAAACTTCCTATATGTTTTTCATTCGTCTGATAAATATGTTCTGTTATTAATTCTTGTAAATTTAATTGAAAACTCCGAACACTGCAAACTAAGTTGGATCATAATAGAACTTGGCAGCCCTCAAATGAGTCAAAAAATGAAAAAAATCTAAACAAGAGCACCTGTTGGCCCAATGGTCAGGGACTTTGTTGCTCTCTCAAGAATGTTCTTCTTACCTTGGATTCTTTCATAGTGTTTCAGGATTTCAATTAGAGCTGGGATCAATGTTGCTTTATATAATGTCATATCTCATTTTCTGTTGAAGGTCCATTAGAAAAGAATGATTCTTTCGACAATATTGAAAGAACTAAATTAGGGATGCATTTATCAATGTGCCCTCTTACCAATTCCTTTGATGTTAGGTGGCTTTGGGTTTTTTGAGAGAATTCTCTCTCTAAGAGAGTGAGAGAGAGAGAGAGAGAGAGAGTCAAGTAGCATCAGAAGTTCCCATACACTACTTTTTAGAAAGAATTACATGGTTTGTAAATAGCCGTTGTGACAAATATAATGGTATTACGGATGGATACGAAAATAATAAAAAGAATACAAAAATAGTCCAATTTGCATAAAAATTATGTTGCAGGTCGGTGTTACGGTTTTTTATTTTTTCTATAATGTCCTTAGTCCAATTATACCATCATCAGACTGGCCTTTAATAATTTCTTTTTAGTCAACTTCGACAGTTGGGGGATGTCCTTTATTTTAGACAACTGGTCTGAGGTCCCCATCTTCATAACGCTACTAATGTGGTATCAAATCACAATAGATACAGTCTGAGGATGGGGATTTCGGACCACCACAGAGACCATCGGCATGGACTGAGATTTGTTCAACCTTATGAGTTGTCCGAGGTCTCTATCCTCAAACCGCCATCAATGTGGTATTAGACTGCATTTCCTAACCAGTCTGGTATTCTTGATATTGGACCGGTTGTCAAATGCTCTAAATTAAATGACACAGATCTACTATCGAAAAAAACTAAAAAATAAAAAAAAACCCAGTCCAAGGATACTATGATCCGATTGAGGGGCATTATTGGAAAAATAAAAATTATGAGGGGGCTGTCGTTTGGTGTAATTTTTGGATAAATTGGAATTTTTTTGTATTTTCTATATTTGTTTTTGTGTCCGTACGTAATTTACTGCTGGACGTAATTTACTGCTGTTATAACACTAACACCCCCTTCCTATTATGTTACATGAAGGTAAAAGGTCCGAATGAGTTTAAAATTTAAAATGACCCGCGCACAAAGTAAGGACTTTTAAATAAGGAAAGAGTTTATATGAGGTTGCAACCTTAAAATGTAGAATTACATATCCACCTTAAAAATTCGTCAGAAAATGTTATTTTAATATTAAAAATCCTCTAATTGATCATCTCGACGTCCGACATCGAGATATATGAATATGGAAAAAAAAAAAAGATTTGAGTCTCAAGAAAAGTGCATCTTGCTACACATTAGTTAGGTTGTCCATTTTCAAGACTTTCATATGTTTATAGATCTATTTGATTTTAACAATTTTTGGAATTTAAAATTTTATAATTAGATCTAAAAATAGATTTTAAGATAATTCTAAGAAATCTTTTCACCAAAATTATATGTTATGGTAAAATTTGGTGGTGTGCCTTAATTGGATTGTTTAAAGTTGCAACCCTATAGAAGCCAAACCTTTTTAATAAAGGAAATAGAAAATATCGTAAATAATTGGGGAATTTTGGTAATTTGGCTTCAGTAGTTCTAACCAAGGGTCGAAAACACTCCAGAAATATAGGACATGGGTTTATAATGAAAAAAGTGCGTTTTGTTTTGCTGACCTTGAACGAGAAGGATATTTTCATCTCAATGTTCAAAAAATAGAGTGACGTGTTTATCTCTGATTAATCAATGCCAGTATCATCACTTACTAATTCTATGTTTGCTAAAAAATTGGGGCATTTTCATCATTTAATTAGGGCCCCTTAGGTAGCCACAAAATAAAATGTCTCCCTTATTGTTCAGGTTTCCAATCATGTCTATGCCAATTAGGTTATTTTATCATATTTTATAAGGAGGTATTTAAGAACGAAATTTAAAAGACAATGATCTGGTGTTAAATGGGAAATGGGATGGTTTGACCAGTGTTATCATGACCTAACCAGCCAGCAAATTGGTAAGAGGTTTGATTCAGTTACAATTATTAGGACTCAACATTGGAGAGGGGATCAATTTAGTCACAATTTTTTGGCTATTGGTCAAACCAAATGGACAGTATTTTAAAAAGACAATAAAAATATATATAATACTTTTAAAATATAAAATATATTAGAATTATTTTTGCCAATTTCATTTAGTTGGTTGAATCGATTAAAATCAGTTGGTCCAACAGGTCAAAACATGTCAAACATTAATTTTGACTGGTTTTCGACGAAATCTAGTTATGATTCGATACCAGATCATTCAAGGTACCAGTCGGTAGTCCAATCAGTTGGATCACTAGTTTGGTTTGTTCAAGACAACCGGTTGGATCACTAGTTTGGTTTGTTCAAGACAACCGGTTGGATCACTAGTTTGTTCAAGTCAATCAAATTGGCAATCGGTCTGTCAATTGTACTTTGGTTGGTCTAGTCTACAATAAAAATTGGGTTTGTTAAAAAATCAGTTAAAATCAATGTTTGACCGGTTTTGGCCAGTTTGATCGATGGGTTTGATTGTTCAATTGGTTAAGGGGCAACTCTTTTTCTAATATATTTCATAATTTTAAACTTGATATCGATTTTTCTTCAATTCTTTATAAATCTGCTCAAACCGATTCAATCAGCAGTTTTGATTGGATCATAACTGTTACTTTGTA